TAAATCCGGAAAGTAGTACTCTATTATCTATTACTCCGAAAAGTATTTGTCTACTAAATAGAACTATAATATTTATAAGAAGAAACTTATAGCTATAGTTAAATTATTAAAATATTAGAAAATCTACCTTCTAGAAGCTAGGTACCCGGTTAAGGTCTATATAGACTATAAAAATCTATATACGTTTCTTACCTTAAAGAAACTAGATAATAGAAGAATAGTAAGATAGGCCGAAGAACTCGCCTATTACGACCTTATTATTAAATATATTACTAGAAAAGATAACTCTAAAGCTAATACTCTAAGTCGATAGCCCGGATATAAGAATAATAAGGTATATAAGAAATAAGCTATTCTAAAAGAAGATAAGAATAGAAACCTTATTCCTAATACTAAAGTAATCGCCGCCCTTATAAAGATCTATAGTCTATAGTATAACGAAATTATAACTACTTAAAATAAAGAATCTAACGTTTCGAAAGAAACGTCTAAATATAAGAACAGTAAACTTAAGATACCTTAGTTATATACTAAAGAATTTATCTAGAGATTCTATAAGGCCCTAGAATATAGCTATTAAGAAATAAAGAGAACTCTCTAGAGAATTTAATAGTAATACTATATCGATAAGCTTCGATCTCTAGTAAAGGACATAGTAACTAGCTACAATACCTATATTTAGAATAAACTAGTATACTATAGCCCTTATAGACTAATAGAAATAATACTAATTCCCGAATAACTATAGAAAATAATATTATAGGACTTTATTATTAAACTTCTACTATTAAGAGATCTAATAACTAGTATTAAGTATAACTTAATTATAGTTATAATAGAAAGACTTACTAAGTATATAATTCTAATACTCTATAAGGAATCTAGTACTACTAAGAAATTAGTCTACGCCTTTATTCGATATATATTTATAGATTATAGTACTCTAGAGAGAATAGTTTCCGACTAAGACAAGTTATTTATATCTAAACTCTAGACGGCCGTAATAGTATATATAGAAATAAAGCGAAAGCTATTAACCTCGTTCTACCTATAGACAAATAGAGAAAATAAGAGAATAAACTAAGTAGTTAAAGTATACTTAAGGTGTTATATAAACTATAAGTAAAATAATTAGGTCGTACTACTACCTATAGCCTAGTTTGTATATAATAGTATATCTACGGAAATAATATAAATATCGCTATTTAAAGCTAACTTTAGTTATAAAAAGACTACGTTTTAAGAATCTTATAACGTAAAAATTAATAACTAGATAGAAAGAATTCTCGTTAATAATCTTTTCTCTCTTTATAAAAAACTTATTAAAAAACTTAAGTTTATTATAGAAAGAAACGTATACTACTATAATAAAGAACGTAGTTAGAAGTCTATACTAAGAGAGAGAGATAAAGTTTATTTAGTTAGATAGAATATCTAAATAAAACAACTAAGTAATAAACTAGATAATAAGAAACTAGAACTATTTAAAATTAAAGTACTTAAAGAACGCTTAAACTATAAATTAGCTCTACCTAAGAGTATAAATATCTTTCTAGTATTCTATATATCTCTCCTCGAGCTAGTACTACTAGAAGTACTACTAGCTCTAGTTATAGAAATAGAACTAGTAAACCTTAACGCCGAGTATAAAGTTAAGAAAATCTTAGACTATAAACTTATTAGAGAAAAACTATATTATTTAATAAAATAGAAAGACTACTTATAATTAGAAAATATATAGAAACTAATAAATAACCTTAACTACTCTAAGTAGCTTAAGAAGTTCTATTACTAGTATCTAGGGCCTCCTAGAAAGACCTAGAATTAAAATTTAAATTAAGTAACAATAGATTATAAGTAGAGAAGTCGTCGGATAGAGTAGAGTAGACTAGTAGTTATTCTACTTCTACTTCTCTCTTCTTCTTCTCTCTCTTCTCCTCTTTATCCTACTACTCTTTTCTCTCTAACTTATCTAACTTATCTAGCGAGTTAAGACCTACTAAGATTATCTTTTATTTCTATTCTTAAAGAAACTTTTACTATCGACAAATATAAGTACAATAAGCTAGTATCTCTTAGATCTAGGCCTCGGTCTACTTATCCTCTAAGAAGAGTTTCTCTTCTTAGACCTTAATACTCTTTTAGTTATAAACTAAGAGTATTTAATTTATCTCCTTAATATTATACGATTTTCTAGCGGATATATAGATACTATAGCGACTATATTTTAGGTCCCGAGAGACTATATACTCCTTTTTCGCCTTCTTATAGCGAGAGTAAGGCGCTATCTTCTTTCTAGTTAGATTAATTTATTTACTAAGAGCTATAATATTAGAACGTTTAGTTATATAGTCGAGTAGTATATTAGAAGAAAGAGAAGTCTATAAGCCTTTAACCGATATATTTCTTAGTTATACTTAAAGTATATAGACTCGCTAGTTCGAATAGAGAATAGTATTATAAGTAGCGTCGGCCTCGGCGTTATAATACTTCTAAAACTAAAGGTCCTAGGATTAGGCGAGGTTATAGAAATTAAGTAGTTTCTAGAACCGCTATCTAATAGCTTAATTTAGTTAAAGTTAGTAATAGTTATATTAGCGGATAGGCCCCGGTTTAGAGTACTATTACGTAATAATAAAGGTTCGATAAGTTTACTAGGCGAACCTATCGAACTTAAGAAAAGAAAGTTCTATATAATAGTTGTAATTTTCTTAGATAAAAGCTTTATACTTAACTTACTATAGTAATAGTATATTATCTATTTAACTTACTCTTATTATAATAAATATACCTTCGAGTATATAACCTAATAATCTTATACGTACTTACTTATATACTAACTTAACAAAACCTCTATCTATAGTATATAGAATATTAGAATTATTATACTACTATAATTACTAACCTCTCTACTACTTTTACTATTCTTTTCTTAATAAGTTTAACAACTACTATTCTCTTCTCTAAAATTACTAACTCTTAGTCTATAATAGTAAACCTCTCTTATTTCTAAATTATTATTAATCTCTACTTAACCTTAACTACTAACTCTCTAGCCTAATCTATCTACTCTTAGACTAGTTATATCTAACTAATACTTACTATTAAGCCTACTATATAGTTATTATTTAAGTCTTAAATTCTTTCTAGAGTAAAACGTTATATCGAAATATATAAGAAGCTTAAAGTAATAAGAGCTAATATAGATAGTTAGTTATAATAGTTTAATAAAGAAGCTTAAAATACTATTAGCGACTTAAGAAGATATCTAAAGATAGTATATAGATAATTAGTTATTAATTACTAGAAAGACTATAGTATAAGGTAGAAGAAAGGTATACTAGTATATAGTAAGTCTAATAGAATACTCTTATAGTATATTAATAGTAGAAAACTATATATATTAGATCTTAACCTAGCTAGCTATTTTATATAAGAACTAGACTACTAACTTAGCGCCTAATTATAAACTATATTTATATATCTTATCTTATCTTTAATATATCTTTCTACTATAAGTTAAATATTATAATTAAAATTAGATTTTAATACTACTATAGTATCTAATATCGACGAGCTTATATAAGCTCGATCTCTAACTAATAGCGACTATATAATTATATATTAATAACTAATAGATAGACTATATACTAATAATCTAGGCCGAATTAACCTAACTTTATATAAAAGTATTCTTAGGTTTTAATAGCTTATAGTTAATATAAATACTTAACTATTACTTACTTAGTATACTAGAGTAAAATATAAGAATCTATAAGGTAAAGTATTAACTTTATAGTATCTCTATTAAGTACTATTTACTAGAAAAGTAGAAGTAGTAAAGCTTAAAGAGAATATCTCTTAGCTTTATATTTTTCTTTTTATAAGTAAAAATAGAGTTACGAAATTAATAGAGAAGCTCTCTATTATTTATTAATCTATTTTATTAAGTATAGCTAGTATTAAAAAGTCTATAGAGAAGATCTTTATACTTTCTTTATTACTAGCTTTTTATAATACTAAAGTTATAAAGCTTAAGAATAAGACTTCTATACTTCGCGACTTACTTTTAGCTAGTAAAGCCGAAAATACGTCTCTAAAAGTAGAGAATACTAAAATATATTTATTACTTACTACTTATAAAACTAAAGTTACTAGCTTTAGAGAAGACGTCTTTAGACTATATAAATTAGTTTATATATATAATTAAATTACTTTAAAGTTTAAAGAAGTAGACTCTAGACTTTATAAATTACTATTAATTTTTAGAGAGAAAGTCTCTAGACTCTATAACTTACTTTCTATAGAAGCTAGAAACGTTATAAAGACTAGATTAATCGACTCTAAGTATAGTAAGTTAGTATTAAACCTTAGTAAAAAAGAACCTAGTAATAAAGAGCCTATTAAGATAAAGTAAGATACTAATTCTCTAGGACCTTTTATTACTATTCTCGCCAAGCCTAGATATCTACGTTTACTAAGGTATAAGAGAATATATAAATCTAATTTAGAGAGGCGAGGAGCTAGTTCTACTATACTTTCTACTAAAATTCTTATAGAACTTAGACGCCGATATCTAACGGATTATAAGTTAAGGGCTTATTACTATACTATACCTCTAGAAGAGGCTGCCGAGAATTCCTTAACGGTAAGTATCCTTATTAACACCTACAGTAACCGAATTACGATTAGAACTTAGAGTGATCTAATTACCAAGATTGTACAAAAGCTTTACAAGAACCCTTTACTTCTACCAAAGTTTAGAGAGCTTCACTGTGGGTCTTATGAGCCTGCAGATGTCAGCACTTGCGACGATGGGACTGTCATTAATACGTAAGTTGCCTTGTTTGGGCTTTTTATACCTTTGGCTAACTTTGAATTCTGAAAACAGTTTCCATATTGAGCGGATCATCAGTCACAACTCGTTCGGATGTCCTACCCTCTCATCAAATCATTCAACACAACAAATGCTGTTGGAGGGAAATATAGCTGAAACCAAGATGCACCACTCCACAGGCATCTGGCTCAAAGCCTCAAAGGTCAACCACTCTTGCATGGCCAATTGCAAACGAAGCTTTATCGGCGACCTCCAAATCATTCGAGCAACTCAAGACATCCTAGCCAACACAGAACTCTTTTTCTGGTACCGAGAACCGACTTGCGATTACGCTGACATGAAAAAAGAGATGCAACATTGGGGATTCGAATGCACATGCAACATCTGTGACGAGTCCAAGAACTTGGTCAAGGATATCTCTAGAAAGAGGAAAACATTGTTGATTGGTCTTCAACGTTCAATCAAACAGAAACATGTCAGTATCGAAAGAGTTGAGCGTCAATTGAAGGTATACGAAGCAACATTCAAGAAGCCAGCAACAGAGCTCCCTAGGATGAGTGTTTTCAACATATATATCGCACTGTCCAAGTTTTACGGTAAGACGCAGCAGCTAAAGAAGTGCGTGGCGATGGGTTTGAAGGGATTAGAAAGTCTCGGTTTTGTTATTTACGGTGGACATCTCGACTCTGCCCGTACAACCCTTTATATCGAGAAATGGGGTGTATTTCAGGAATATGTCATTCAAGCTTTGATCTGTCTTTGTGATATTTATGTGGTTTTTGCACCTCATTCGTTGGAGAAGGCAGAGGGATATGCGAAGTTGGTGTATAAGATGTCTGTTGGAGAGGATGCTACTTTTGATACTTTCTATAAGCAAGCTTCGGGACGTTAAGGACAAGCCGCGAATGAGAATGTGGAAGACTAGGGATGATGAGATGATGGTATAATGATTTTCGATGCGATACAAATCAAGTTGACCGGAAGGCTTGGAAGAATACGGATGATGGCATTATGATTTTCAATGTAATGCAAATCCAATTGACTAGTTCTACGTCAATGACTGCTATGTTGATACATTGTTTACAAAGGAGAAAGTTAGATCTCGAGGGTTGTGTAGGAGAGAGTCTTGGTCTCCGAACATCCAACCCAAGAAATTGGTAAGAATTTCTAAACCAAGATAAAAGCAGCTTCGAATACCTAGCAACTTACATAAAATAAACATCTTACTCATGTAACTCATGTGGTATCTGCCGAACCAAGCAATCGGCTCTCATGAGCACACAGTAATCCCTAACCCTAACCACTGGAATTTATAGCAGCATCAGAGGCATGCTAAGACGGCCTAATGTTAGATTCAGATTGCGGTGGAATGAAAGTATGAAAGCTATGATCAATGCTTTCCTTGATAATCCCAATACCTATGTTGACGGAAGATGAAGTTCACTCCACAGCCTGTCGAGCATCCTATGTCTTGGCTGGCCTAGTCAAGACTTTCAATAACTTTCTGCCCGCCTCCTTTCAACTATACCACACTTGGCTTTGACGCCGCTCCTACGTTCGATTCCTTCTGTGACAACCTTCGTGTTCCCACGATCGGGTTCTCCAACTTCTTCAAATCCTCTTGCAACATTCTTTTCCTCTCTTCTATTCTTTTATTTTCCTCCTTTGCTTTCCTGTCTTCCTCTTCCTCCTCACCTTCTAATACCACTTCGGACCATTTTGCTAGTCCTTTCCCACCGTGTATAAGAGTCTCTAGAATGTGTAACTCGGGTTCTGGCTCTACCCACCTTCCAGGGATACTGGCGGAACGACTAACACTTGTTCGAGAATATTCCTGGGCAGCAACACGCGGAAACAAAACAAGTATACTAGTCTGGAACTCGGGAATGTTTTCATGCCACCCTTTATAACTTACCGGATCGAGTTCAGGTTCCACTATAACTTCACGCTTGTCTGATTGAGCGACATCCCATACTGAGATAGCCGACATTGCGAGGCCGAGAAGGCTGTTTCTTAGGTTGGAATTTACCGTGGGCTTGACCAAGTGCGACAAGATAGCCATAACTTTATCGCTGAAATCCTGAGCGCGACCAGACTAAGGCCTTAGGATCCAGGCTACAAAGGGCAACCCCAACGCCCTGAATCAACGGAGTACCGCCTGAGCGATCGTACTTTCTTCTAACTCGTTACCCAGGAGTTCAAAGCCTATTCAATAGTTGCGTCGTCTTCTGGCGGTACCATAACAAAAAGGTACCTTTTGGTTCTATAGCACCTTTGCACTTCTAGGTGTGCATTTAAAAAGGTACCTCTCATTATCTTCTACATCACTATGTCATGTCATGCTCTCTGTAGACTTTGTTTCAAGACCAATGATTTCCCTTTCTACATAGGTATCATACTATTCAAGGCGAAGTCCACCCATCAAAACATCAAGAGTTCTCGCATTGTCTTCATCTTGACGAGAGCTCACTACCAATTCCGCAGTTGTCTGGTATTCCTTGATGAATCCTTCAGCCTCGTGTCGTGATCTGAACGCCTTGTGACAAGCGTGCGAATAGTTTTTGATTTCGTTCTGAGCACCTGACCTAAGAAATGTCAAAAGTCTCCATGATATGAAGTAGTCCAAACTTACTCATAGTAATCGTAGATCCCGACATGTTCACCATTTGCCACCGCGAAGTACCGTGGATCACCTTTTGCAGGTGCTCTTTCGCCTTCTTCACTCCCCCGGAAAAATAAGTGATTAAGGTGTCCTTCGGCCTCCATAAACTCTATAGCCTCGTCCAATGTTTTGAATCCTTTGTATACGCTACCGCTGTAGCCACTGACCAGGGGTTGGGCTATACCCCTATCGACTATGGTCAGTAATGTTTCAGTTGACTATTGGATATGAGCATACCATGATGTGCATATTGCAGGGGCAATGTATCCACAGAGAACAGCATAGTAGTTCTTCTTCGCCATATCAATTTGTAGGTTACGGCTCTGAAAGACAATGAATGCAAAGTGATTTGACAAGATAAAAACTAAGACTGGATAGAGATGGTTGCTTCTGTCATTTCACGTCGACATCTAATGTTACACCGAATGGGATGCCACGTCAGCGGTCACCTTGACGGGAAATACCTACGGCGAATCCAACATGTATCATTCGAAAAATTGTGACCTATCGTAACGCACTAGGCAGATCACGACAAGTTCTTAGTCAGTTGTCATTTTCTTGGAGCTACTAGTGACATTGTAAGACCTGGAAATGCTTGAGCCGAAACCAATATCGTCATTTTCAACCAACGCGTCGCTGCCAAGCCCGTGCAAGATGCGACGTACTCACGTACCACGGTCCGTCCTATTGCATTTAGGCTTCATCACAGGCTTGCCACTTCCAGTAGCACGTTTTGTAGGACATGACTGGAGATCAGAATGTCGTTGGTCTATACATGTTGCTTAACTCTCCTGCCTGAACAACCACTTGTTAAACTCACTTGTATCCAGACCCTTTGTTACAGAATTCCTCGTCCTTTTCAACTTCCTAGAATACGCTTCAAAGCTTATATGAATTGCGGGTCTTAATGCAAGAGACATCACTTTCACCGTCTCCGGGCTATCCTCGCCTTCACAGACAACTCTAGCTTTATAGGCTCTCTCCGCAAATACACTCGCCCGCGCTTGATCCCCATGCGAAATGATGATCTGGAATGCGTCGTGGTAGAGTCTAGCACACCCGTCGAGCTCTTGGTCGAGGACTTGAATCAGCGAGTAGCAGTCACTCAAGCTCTCTCGTGGGTTGCTCATCATGCGAAACGGAGCCCCAATGACTTCATCGAGATTCTGGATCTGTGTGCGGCGACTATCGTTTGCTTCGAGTGAGGGAAGGGGCAAAAGTGCAACCGCTGCAGGTGCAGGTGCAGGAGAAGCCGAAGCTTTCTTTAAGTAATGCCTGCCGTTCGGTTGAGATCCCGCCATGGTCGTACGATATTGTGATTTCATCTCCTCTCTCAATCGACCGGATCGCGTGGATAGTTTCGTGCTCGTCGGCACTGTTCCAGTTATTGTGAGCATTTGGCACGCAACTGTGGTTGATTAAGCAGACTGTGGGTTAGACACCGCCGACGGGCGACCCGGATCCGCATGGAAGAGCATTCGTCTTGAAGATGCCGCTGAATGGGTTCTTCCCCGGGAGGTTGTTATGAGGAGGCAAGAACTGCCGCTGTGACTCTCTGGACATGGCTTCAAACTGGTCGCAAGAAACCGCTCTAGCTCAATGGGAGGCTTGGGTCCAACTGTGAAAAGTGGCTTCTCACAAATGATCCGAGTGCCCTAAGATATGTTGAAACAATTTGTGATTTATATTGGGGAGTTGACTGGGAGACTGGTGACGAGAGATCAGTGGATGAGTGTGCTCATATTATAGAAAGGCTGTCACCTGTAGAGGTGCTCTGCTGCTTTGACGCGGTTGATGGTGGGAGGTGGGACGGTGTTGTTCTGGAAACAAGGTTGACCTTCACTTCACTTTCACTTCTTCCACAAGATATCGTTCCGACCTCCGAAGGCATTTGGTATTTACAAGTCCTAGCTTCCAGCCAAACATCTCTTAATCCTTTACAACAACAACCCAACACATCTATTTACTTCACCTCAAAACACACCGCTCTTCTTTCCTCAGTAAACAGGACAGCAACATCATATCCACCTCCGCCACCACGAGCCTAAAGGAGTGCCAGAACATCGATTCTTCGCCTCCCAAGTTTAACCTGATACTAAATATCTCATCAATCTCACCAGTACTTTCGGCCTTTTACAATGGCTTCATCTGCCGCTGAACAAGCCCTTGAGTATGTACTAACCAACCATCTAACAATGACCTTCGATACCGCATATCACTAACATGTTAGTAGGAGAAAGGTCTACGTACGCGGTCCAAGTGGAAATCCCGAGAAATACATTTCTGTTCATGAGATCGGAGATGCTATCCTAAAGGAATATAAGGCGGCCGAGGATGCATTTGAAGCGGCTTGTGGTGGGTTCCCAACACTGTGCAGTCTACAACCACTAACACTCTTTGAAGCCATCGAACGCGATAGCTCTCCTAACGCAGAAATCATACGACGTAGACGCGCTCGTAGTGTACTCGATGTTGCGGTCAAGGAAAAGTTTATCAACCACGAGCCTTCAGATCCAGAAATTACGCGTCGTGAACATAATCGCCTCACATATACATACACTCCCATCGACCCTGCTGTATTGAACAATGGACGGGGCTGTTAGGGGAACACACGGGGAAAACTGGGTCGATAATCTGTTGATTTTTTCGGATTGCGATGGAACTTGGAGTAGTAAGTTTTGAGGGGTCATTTGAGAGGGTATATCTAAGGGGAGGAATTTGCGTTTGGCAAGGGTTATCGCGTTGCTCTCAAGGTTCTTTTCTGCGGTAGTTTCACATATGATTCGCGTTGATTTGATCACATATTAAAAGCTGGTTTCAAGTAGGGGATTTATTAATATAATTAGTTCCTCAATATGTGCGATGCGCTAAGAGATTTTCTGGAAATAAGTAAGAAATCAATTTGCTCTATTGGATTTCACAAAGTTAAAATCAGCGGACTGGGCTATCTTGAGAGCAAGCTTTCCGAACTGTCCTCAAGTATGCTTTGCGAAATGTTAGAAGTGCCACAGTCCACGCCATGTCGAGCAGCTGATTGCGGATGTCTTCTCCTTCGGAAAGAGGGTTGGAGGCTCCTGTTGTATGATGACCAACTACAGCACGCAGGAAGTTGAGGGACATGGTTAGGGCCCGGAGGGCCAGTGGTTTGGGGTGACAGAAACCTAGGGACTGAGAGAAGTGAGAGCACAAGGAATACATATAGAAATGTCTGAAATTCAAGTTCGCAGAAGCTCAATCTGTTCGTGATTTCATCCTTGTCGTATGAGCATCAATCACGGCCGTTCACGTGGTTACCTCAAGGCAGGGTGCCTTTGTTGCCAGAATCCCCTTGTGCCTGGATCCCATTTTGTCAGAATCCCTGTGTATATAGCATGATCAATGACCTTAAATTATCCACTCCTCATCAGCTATGATGTTGCCACGGATAACGAGCCCATTGCCGAGCCGCACCATTCCAAGGCTCGCTCTCCTTCTCTCCTAACCACAGTGGCTTATAGACAATCTATATGTTCCTCGGAGTCGAAATCATCTACCAAAGCTTCATATTCACTTGGGAAAATAGTCCAGAGATTGATGAAATCTTCTTGAGGCGAGTAAGCATCTAAGCCGTACAGTTGCCAAGATTCCCAAGAAGATTGATGGCTCGTTTGGTGACTGGAAGTGTTAGTAGGTAATTGTTGTAAAGAAGAATAACCACCACCTCCGCCGTCTCCTCCTCGACTCGAGACCGCCCACGCGTTAGAGAAAACTCGCATTAGAGAGCTGGGAAATTCTCGACAAGTTCAGCGACCGCCTTCTCCTCCTCAGAAACCAACTCCTAGTCCGCGAAGGGAATACCACCACCACGATTACCGACCCCTCCACCACCTCCGCCGTCCCCTCCTCGACAAGTTCAGCGACTGCCGTTCCCTCCTCTGAAATCACTAACTCCTAGTCCGCGACAGCAAACCCCTCTTGTTCCTAAATCATCATTGATCCCTACTCAACCTCGACCACCAACCCTCTAGCCTGATCTATCTACTCTTAGGCCGGTTGTACCTAACCGACACCTACTGTTAAGCCTACTACGCGGCCGTCGTCTGAGTCTCAAATCCTTCCCGGGGCGGAACGTTATATCGAAATACACAAGGAGCTCAAAGTAATGAGAGCCAATGTAGACAGTTGGTTATAACAGTTTGACAAAGGAGCTCGAAATACCATCGGCGACTTGAGGAGAGGTCTAAGGACAGTATGTGGATAATTGGTTGTCAATCCCCAGAAGGGCGATAGTGCGAGGTAGAAGAAAGGTGCACTAGTGTATAGCAAGTCTGATGGGACACTCTTATAGTGTATCGATGGCAAAAAACTATATACGTTGGATCTCAACCCGGCTGGCTGTCTCACGTGAGAACCAGACTACCAACTTAGCGCCTGATTATAAACTATGTTTACACACCTCGTCTCACCTTCGACACATCTTTCTACCACAAGTCAAACATCACGATTGAGATTAGATTTTGATACCACTATGGCGCCCGACATCGACGAACTCGCGCGAGTTCGATCTCAAACTGACAGTGACTGTGTAGTCGCATGTCAACGACTAACAGATAGACTGTATACTAACAATCCAAGCCGGATTGACCTGACCTTGTGCGAAGGCATTCTCAGGTTTCGACAGCTCACAGTTGAAGCGAATGCTCAACGATCGCTCGCTCAGCATGCCAGAGCAGAATACGAAAGTTTGCGAGGGGAGGCAGTCACCTCGCAGCATCTGTGTCAACTGCTGTCTGCACGAGAAGCGGAAGTAGCGAAGCTCAAAGAGGATATCTCTGAGCTTCGCGATTCCCTTTCTGCGAGCGAGAATAAAGTCGCGAAATCAACAGAGGAGCTCTCTGTTATTCGCCAATCCATTTCATCGAGCGCGGCTGGTGTTGAGAAGTCTACAGAGGAGATCTCTTTACTTCTTTCATCACTAGCTTCTCGTGATGCTGAAATTGCAAAGCTTAAGAACGAGAGTTCTGTGCTACGCAAATCTATTTTAGCCAGCGAAGCCGAAAACATATCGCTGAAGGCAGAAAATGCCGCCATACGTTCATTGCTTATTGCTCGCGAAACTGAATTTGCTAGCCTTAGAGAAGACGTCTCTGGGCTATGTAAATCAGTTTCTACGGATAATAAAATCGTTCCGAAGCTTGGAGAGGTTGACTCTGGGCTTCATGAATCGCTGTCGATTCTCAGAGAGGAAGTCTCTGGGCTCCGCAACTTGCTTTCCGCAGGAGCTGGAAACGTTGCAAAGACCAGATCGATCGACTCTGAGCATACTGAATTGGTATCAAACCTTGGCGAAGAAGAACCTGGCGATGAAGAGCCCTTTGAGATGAAGCAGGATGCTGATTCTCCAGGACCTTCAGCCACCGTTCCCACTGAGTTTAGACCCACATTTGTCAAGGGATAGGAGAATGTATGAATCGACTGAGGATAGGCAGAATGCCAGTTCTTGTGTACCTTCACCTGAAATTCTCGCGCTACTCAGACGTCGATGTGTGACGGATTATGAGTTTAGAGGAAGGTGGACATTCGGCTCCAACCAGAGCACGATTGTGCGCTGATAGTTTTGGTGGTATCGTGATGGGAGCAATTGCTTTGGGTCCTGGTTGATGTATCTGCTGTAGTTGTTAGTTAATTTATTCTTAGCATGCATTTCAACCCTTCAGATTCAAAATGCTAAATTGCTTCTACACTTAATGCTACATAAACTATTTAATAATCTTTTTACGAATACGTCCTTACCGTGTTGCTCGGTCCGGGTTAGAGTTGTGTATTCTACGACATAGTGAAAGAAACAAAAAATTACAACAGTACGATAAGGTCTAATACTTTCATTCCATATAAAATATTTGTAAAATCTTCACTAAGAAGTTCGCTAATACCCGCCAAATCACTTAACGCCATGCTTCGCTCATATCATACAGCCCAGGCTCCCAAATGTGGAGGGTGTAAATCCAAAAATCACTTCACTGCCTCTCCTTGGCAGCTCAAAATGTGCGGTGGATATGAAATCCAAGTCCCTCGCGCGTAAATCATCATCATAAAGTGGCACTTGCTTCGCTCTCGTAAATACGATCAGACTTTGACGTGGCGGTATTAATGTCCATGTCCTATCTCAAAGTCAGTCACGAATTCAAACCACCTCCGGTTACTATTTAAACTTACGACCCAAAGCCCTCTCTCTCTTCCCCAAACTCTTCGCCTGCTCCGCCTTAAGCTGCGCGCGTCTCGCATCCTCCTTCGCCTCCCTCTCAATACGCTTAACATGTTCCCTGGCCTCCTTAACCGCGACCCTCGCCTGAATCAGCGCGCGATCCGCCTCTTTCTCACTGCGTTCCGCAGCGATAACGCGTTCTCGCGCGGTAATGATGGAAGCATCTTCATTTCTGTGCAGGAAGTTGTGGGTGGAGGAGTGGGCTACTGGTGGTGGGGTTGGCGAGCGGCGGCGGAAGAGCGTGGATGAGCGTTTTGGAGAGGTGCCGCGGTGATGGGTCGTTGTTGTAGTTTCGGTGGTTGCCGGGGTGGAGCGGGAGAAGAGTGGCATTTTGGCGGTTGATATTGTAATTTGTTTGGTATAGGGTGTGATAGTGTGGTTTGTGTTTGTGTAGTATTTTGTCGATCGAATGTCGGGGTCTAGTGCGCACTTTTATAACGATACTACCCAGCCACAATTCATGTCTCATTTCATGAATTCATGATTCTTATTATCCCGAAGCAAGTTTTCGTGGAGGATGAAGAGGTGACGTCAGTGAGGCAGATCAATCTCGCTTCTTGCCCCTGGATATTGAGGTGGAGCCAATGATGAAGCGACGATGTGGAGGGGTTGCCTCATTTGTCTGAGACCTGGAGTTCAGCCGCTTTTGAAGCTGGACGACGACGACAATGATGGATTATACCATAGTGAATTTGACAGTAGCACATCATCTAGCATATTCAAGATTTTACGCGATACATTGGGAGTCGATGAACGGTTAGTATATCCAGACTCATGCGAAGCAGAGAATAACTGATATTTGGAACGCGACATTCATTCGACTGATCTCACGAAATGTCGTACTCTTCACTCTTATTCGCCTTGAAGAAGACGAATCAAAACTCGAAGCAAGATGATTAACCAATCCATTTGATACATTATCGCGATTTCGTCTGTTACTCACAGTAAATAAGATGACTAAAGACTGCATTTGGAAAAAAGTATTGTTGATTCAATTATACCTGTACTAAAGCGCCTTCTCCTTCCACTTCTCAAAAGGTTCAGCCCATGGCTCTCCAAATTTGGAAGCCTTCCACTCACAGATTTCGATACTGTCATTCAACAGCGTCTCTTTGGCGCCATGAAGGTGTTCGCAATCTTCAGTCGATAAACCAAGGCTCTGGCAGCGACGCAGGCGCAATGCGCGCGCAGGGTCCTCTGACTGAACAGTCTTCATGAACTCTTCTTGACAGAGCTGAAAAATAAACATCAAGACGCCAGATTCTTCGAACCGAGCATCTCTCCGCGACTTGAAATGTTTGTACGACTGATACAGTCTGGGACTGACTGGAGCACCGCCGTTTAAGACAGCTATCTCCCCGAGTACGATGTAACATAAGAGCTTATCAGCTGGAAAACCCAGATTATTCTGGTGTTCTTCCCAAACGAGACGAGCGAGATGTTTAAGTGCGTCAAGTACAGCGTCATTCTTCAGAGAACACTTCAAAGCAACATCGGCATCTTATATTTTAGAGCGTTTTCTGATGAGGTCTTCCATCTGGATGGTCTTGATGTCGATTTGCTCGATAAGATCAACCCACGCCTGCAACTCCTTTACTTTAGCTTCGTCCAGCTTCTGAATGATCTTTGAGAAGGCTTCTTTGCCTTGCTGATCTTTCTAAAACTGCAACCTTTTCTTTGGAAGTCGCAAGCTCTCCCAGATCATCCCAAGATGAAGTTTCCGATGTTGAAAACTCGTCTTGCTGAAAAGGGAAAATGTTTATTTTTGCGGCCGACTTCACCTTATCACTATGTCCTCCAAAGCGTTGTAATTAATAAGGGGTAGCAAATATAAGACAATTATTCGATTAGACTGACGAAGTCACGAATGTCCCCTCAAACCTCGCACATCTATAGTTTAGAGAGTAATGATACACTATCAGCGCGAAGACTGTCTCATGGATTTCGTTCTCCAGACCCTTTGCCAGCCAGCTGAGTAAATGGTATGAATAGTCGAAAATGAAGGGAAGTCTCAATTACCGATACCTCTCGACTTCACCTTTAATGTATGTAGAAGAATACCACGCTAGTACAAGCGCGACGCGATCGAAAATCTCGACACGAATGTTTACCGATCTTTCGTTTCGAATCTTCACATCGCAATCATTAATCAACAATCATGGCGTCTGAGTTTGCGGCAGTATGGCCGCCGCCAGGCCCAGATTATGACCGAGATAAACCGTGGTTCTATGAATCACAGAGAGCAAAAGTCTTTCTTCGGTGGGTTGAAGAAGGACACGTTCAGCGGAATGTTGAAGGTGCCAACACATATAACAACCTCCACCGTTCCTATACCGAAGAGGTCGAGCCTTTGTATATGACTCAAGGCTTTCGGCAGGACTGGAACGTTGAATGGAGGTTGTTCACGCACTTCAGTAAGTCAACCTTCTCGACGTTCTCTTCAAGATGCTAATAATGGTAGATCAAAGTGCAACTTTGGCGGAGTTCGGAGTACCCGAGCCACCTGAGATGCCAATTTGGCGCGGACAGCAGATCCGCGAACGAATTGAGCAGAGAAGGGCTGCCGAAGCAAACACACATACAAAAGATGACCATGAAGGCATTTCTAGTCGTCGTGAAAGTGCGGGAGTGGGAGGTAACAATCCAGACGTCGGTAGTGCCTTCCAACCCAAGTTCAAGCCCAAGAGGCGCAGAGGAAAAGGAAAAGAGCCTGGCGTAACAGACAGGGAGCCGGCTTGGAATACTTTGACTCCGCAAGCAACTCAAGGGAACTTGCCAAACATCTCAGAGAGATGGATGGATAGATTTCAAGACTCTGCTACGCGTTATTCTCCTTCGGAGTCCTTCGTGGCAAGACCCTCACAGCGAGTCGAGGGTGTTGCCCGAAGTGAGCTCGCTGTACAAGTCAGTCGTCGACATAAGTACAAGAATGAAGTTGAGGATTCGTTCAGCATGAGCGACATCCCTGAGTTCAAAGAACGTGAACCTAAGATGTCAAATTCTGCTGCCACAAGTGTAGATCCACCTGCTCTCAGCGAGAGGCAGGAGGGAACTCCTTGGGGTAGCATGAATCCAACTGCTTTCAGACAGGGGCAGGCGGAGACTTCCTCAAGGAACAAGAATCGGGAGCCACATAGGACACCTATTGCTGGTCCTTCCCTCATCAAGAAAGAAGAAGATTCATTGGATCAGAAGCCGAGCTTCAAGAACGCGCCTCGCAGACGTCAACCTAGACATGCTCGCGATGACGAAAAAGAAAGAAGCGAGCTAGAAATATACCGGGGTATCTTTGGTGACCATGCAGAAGTGATGCTAGAACGTGTTCAAGCTTTGAGAGAAATCAAGAGGCTTAGAGACTCGGTGGTAAACTGGAAGCCACCCTCTGCCTCGAAATCTACGCAAGCCAGCAGGCGGCAGCGTTCTGATGACGAGGAAGAGCAGCAGACCGCTAAGAAGAGGAAGCGTCAACGCAGAAGGCGAAAGCGCAAGCCTCGTTCTGGTGGTGGCTGTCGTGAGGATGACGACCTGGGTGGTGATGACGGTGATGGCGGTGATGGCGGTGCTGGCGGTACTGGAAATGCAGCGAGCAAATCCAGTACAGCCGCCCCATCTGTAGCTTTAGCGTTGCCATTTGTGGCAGTAGGAAGGTAGTGGGGATTCGTACCAGTCTCGGTTTTGTTTCTGTCGTGGTGGGTTGTGTTGTGGTTCCTGTAGATATTAGCCAATTATGATATTTTTCCTGTTGCACACTTCTTTTTTCATGACAACGAATGCAGTAAAATATCTCCTGTAAACTCAAATCAAGATTCGCTGTCGCTGTAGCCTGTGACTACATTTTTCATGAGGAGATGTCGTTTATTGTGCTAAGCAACATCTCTAGCACCTACCTATCCACTGAAGACTCACGAGAATGATGATAATGTCTTTATTGTATAGAGAGTATGTTGTTGATAGTTATATCTATTTTAATATGCCGAAGCTAAGACTGAGATGATGATTTTCGGACAGCTGGCAGAACTATTCACATGATGAAAGGGGAGCTGTAGGATGTTGAAGAGGAATTCTGTGAGATACGGAATTCTTCACTTGGTTTCAGGCAAGTCTAATGTAAGAGGAAAGGTCTTTGTTAAGGGGCATGCGAGTTAGCACCGGAATATCGATCTTCAATCAATCAATCCTACTATTCTTTGTTTTTTATGTGTGATATCTCGGTTTAAACCTGGTAGACCTTCGATTGCAATATCAGAGATACATACGGATAGATCCCAGAGACCACATCTGGCGAGAATTTAGCCTGTAGATGTTTGAAAGTCCCACCAGATCTCTTCATATGTAGATTACAAGTTAAAAGAAGGCCAGTTCAAGGAAACGTTGAATGTATCGAGCTTTTGATTGGCTGTTCTTTCAGGCGTGAGTTGTTGTATCATGTTAAAAAGGCGCTCTACGCTCTTGTAATCTTACGTGCTAAAGCAAAGCATGTTTTGGCCGGATATCAGAATGGAAAGGCTCCAGGGCAGGCCCATTCGTACGAGATAAATCAAGAAAGACAGCTAATTGGAAGCAAAAGATGTTGGCGTCTTGACATAGTCAAATTCTTATATATTCAATTCCGAAAGATAACTCGCTACTTGTATCCAATCTTTGTAGCTGCACAAATTCAAAGTAAAAACCAATAATCCAAACATCAAGGGTATCCAAGAACCAATCCATCACCAACTCTCCATGTCACCCAAAAGAACCATCCGCCCCCAACATCTGCTACTAACCCAACAACTCCTACGACAATCAAAAGCACGCATTCCTATAGAATCTGTTCGTAATCTTATCCAATAAAACATTCCTACCACCCGAAAACATCAGCGGGTGCCACATGAACCGCTCTCGATCTAAGCGTCCCTTCGCATCCTTAAACGCATCCAACTCCGCAATCTGCCCCTGCACAAAAGCCATATTCTCCATCCTCTTCTCAGTACTAGCCACAGGAGTCCCCCGTGGTTTCCTCTTCCTAATGCCACCGTTCGGGTTGTTCAACAAGCGACGAGCATCCAGTTCTCTGCCCTCGTCAAACGTCAGATGGATTCGTCTGGTTACCGGATGGGATTCGCTTTTCCTAATCTTGCGGAAGGCGAGAAGACTGCCCATTACGTAGCCGGGTCTGATTTCTTTGAGTTCTTCCTCGGTGATGTCGCGGCGCGTGAGGGCATCTTCGCGTTTTCGGGGGTTGAGGCGGGATGATCGAGTTGGGGGAGCGGGCTCAGAGGGAGGGTTTGCGGGAGGGTTTGCTGGTGTTGCTGATGCTGGAATTGTGAACTTTTCTGCCATGCTGGTTCTCGTTAGTTAATTGTGTGGTGCTTGAGGATCTCCATTGTTTACTTTGATGTCTGTTCTGCAGCTGAGTCTGTGGATGGACCGACGTTGGGAGCTGATGTGTGTGATTTGCGCCTCATATTTACAATATAGCTTCAAGCAAAAATACAGATTCTTCTCGAGTAACAGAGTGAACAGTCGTCTATTCTGTTCTTCCAAAAGACACCGAACTGTATGAACGGATTGTGAACGACAACAGTTGTTCATCAGTTACAAAAACAAAGAGAACAGTATTTTGACGCGTCAAATTATGTTAGTAAATTGTGGCAAAAATGATTGATTAAATTCACGCTGGTTAGAAGACGTGCAGTCTGGTCCATGGGGGTCATTGCAAATGCTAGGTAGCAGCAAGTCCTCCAACCGAATTGTTTTCAAAAATCTCTTTTTTCTCAAAACTTGAACCGCAGAACAGCACTTGCAATTTTTGCATCAGATACCAGTACTCGGATATCAATTTTGTTGTGAACGAGCTTGCTTGAGAGTCAAAATGCGAAGGTACGCAGAGCACCGAGCCGATTAGGATTTAATCGATCGAATCTAGCATACCTACCTATATACAAGGAATCGATATCTTCGAATTTAGACGACTTTCTCTTCCAATGCAGATATCATCACTACTCCATCTCCCTTCTTCGACTTCCTCTTCTCCTTAAACTGCTGCGCGCTCCTCGTATCCCTGTCCAGACTCAAGTCTCTCGAAACCAGACTCGTCAAAAGCGCCAGCCCTGCAAAAGCAGCAATGACAATAAATATCGCATCGATAACATCAGCCATTATTATACGATATACAACTTGAACGGACGGTGGGAAGGGTTTAATCAGTTCGAAAGCTTGCTCCGCTTGTCGGTATGAGAGGACATATTGGGGTGGAATGCTGCCAGCCAATATCGACTTTTGGGTGTGCTTGTTCCATTGGTTTTGAAATACCACACCACCGATACCGACCCCGAAGGATTGACCGAGACTCAAAACAAAAGATACTAGTGCTGTGGCCTGGCATTGGATTAGGAGTTGTGAGATTCTTGAAGGAGGGTTTGCATACCATTGGAACATCATCATCTGTCTGGCAAGCTTGAACTGCGCATGTCCTTCCTGGGAAAAGCTAACAGCGGCGTTAGTACTACTCAAAATCATAATTACGAATTACCTACCACTCCTGCCCCGAAGGCGTACACGATTTGAAATCCATATTGAACACCTTTATTAGAGTCAATCTTGAGTTGAGTCATCAGCGCAAAACCAAGCGTCGTGAAGAACCAAGCAGCAGTATTTACTGCTTTGAACTTTTGGAGTTTGGTTATGAGTAGACCACCAGCCACAGCCATGAAAGGTACCAAAACAGTTCCGGGAAGAATTGACACACCGGCGCCAACCAGAGAGCGCCGCTTGGTAACAAGGAACTGTAAGTTGTTCTTAGTCTTTGCAGGCCCGCAGCGCTGTATGATAATAGACTTACATATTGAATTAAATAGTATTGCATGGCCCAAAGATCGAACCCCAAACTGAACGATGCAACAAATGCAGCAGCAGCTGTCCGACTAGCGAAAATTCGAAGCGGTATCATCGGTTCTTTAGCGTATTTATGCTCGTAGAAAAGGAATACTGTTAGGCCGAAAGCAGCGATTACAATACTTGCGATCACCCGCCCCGAGTCCCATGGATGTATGACACCACCGCTGGTGATTCCATAAAGCAGGGATATCAGGGAACCAGTCAATACGACTACGCCGACCCAATCCACACGTTTAAGCTTTTCCAAAACAGAGAGAGGCCCAGTCTCAAGATGGATGAAGAAATAGATTCCAGCTATAGCTGGAACACAGAGTGGGAGGTTAATGTAGAAGATTCTAGTATTGTGAGTAAACATATCTATAATACGTGGAGTAAACTGACATTCTCCATGAAGCTCTCCCTGCGATACCTGCACCCATCATGATGCCTGATACTAGGCCAATGGCTGAAGCAAGAGACAAGATACCGATGTATTTGGCTCGCTCTCTCAACGAAACCATGTCAGTGATAATCATGCTTCCGCATGCATTTATTCCACCAGCGCCGATGCCTTGGAACTAAAGCAATATCAGCGCAAGGAAGAAGAAACAGGAAGGATGGGAAAATCAAATATTTTGACATGGCGAGTCAGGTCTTTTGACTTGAAAGAACTTCTCGAAATCACTGAATAAACAGAACTCACCACCCTAGCGGCAATCAACCACTCAATACTCTGAGCCGTTGCACAGAAAAGACTTGCAATCGTAAAGACGATCATAGCGAACAGAAAACATGATTTTCTTCCAAAAACTCCAGACAAAGTACCATACAGTGGCTGGCTCACTGCCTGAGCGAAAAGAAATCCCGATCCAAGCCAGTACGCCTCGTTGGAACGCGCATTCAATCCCTGTGCTATCGCAGGCAGCGCAGTCGCGACAATTACAGTATCCATGGTAGAAATAAAGGCACTTGCCATCACAGAACCATACGCCAACATGAAAGAAAGTGATTTCTTTTCAATTGGTACATCCATCTTCTCTTCTTTACTAGGAGGACTTCCGGTCTCTATCGATGAGGACATCTCGGGTGTTGGTGTTTCGATATCCATTTCAGCTTTTGCAACTTTCAGAGCAGCGATACAGTTACTCTAACGGTATCGTTTTCGACGCTCAAACTGTTGGTTAATTTACGAGTGAGACATGGAGTTTAACTCTGATTGCTTACGCTTATGTGATACCCGTAGAACAACATGTTGCACCAATGGAACGCTTCTGTGGTCGGTTCGGCGCGGTCCTGCCCATTTTGAGACATCTCTCCGGTATCTCAGCACTAGTTGTTGTCAGCATGCAACATGGGAACTATATCCGGTATGAAGGTCAGACAGGTAAAATAAGTCTAAAATCTTAAATATCGTATTGCGCCTTTGGATCGACAAGTATGAATCAGCCGTTTTTCGAGGTTGTATTCGCCGACCTCACTTTAGTATCTCCAAGGAAGGTTTGCGAAAGATATCTGTGCACAATAATAGGTCAGTCAGAGGGTCCGCAACAAATGAACTAAACAATGACTTCTCTTTAGATTTCAATTTCAAAATGGATCTGAACACAATCTTTGGACCTGGTCTTTTGAACATAGCTGGTATTATACCACATCTTCCAATCGTGCTAGCTTCTGCAGTATGGTATAAAATCACGCATTTGGTGGTTGGCCCATTGCTTCGCAAACTCTTCATTCCGTACGACCCGAAAAATCCACCGACTGAAAGAGCGGTTTTCTGGTGGAATATTTCTATGGTCAGTATCGCTCAGTCAATAGTCAATACTGGAGTCTCGATATATCTACTCTGGCACTCTGAATTCAGAGAAGGGTTGACGCCCCAAGAGAGGATCCTGGGCTACCACGAACAAACAGCTTCTGCACTTGCGATCACAGTGGGATACTTTGTGTTCCACCTCGTCCAGGTATGGTGTAACGTGGATGTTGAGGGAAAATATATGCTGGCGCATTCATTTGCCACCTTGTTTGCGACATCAATAGCCTTCGTAAGTTGACCAACAATTTGCTTGAAGTTCTTGACCTGATAGTTCTCATAGCGACCCCTATCAATGCACTATCATGGTGCTTTAGCAGCTTGGGAGATCCCAAACATATTCCTGAGCATTCAGAGACAACTCGATAACCTAGGGTATCGCAAAAGTCGAGGTCGTCTGATCAATAGAATGATCTTGCTCACGACATACGCCATTGTGAGACTTGGTTCGGGCACGATTGTGCTCGGGAGACTAATAAGTGACATGATTGTTACATATAAAGACCCCCACCAAGTACGAGTCGAGCATTTATTGCCTGGAGTTGGAAAGATTGGGCAAGACCAACTTCAACTCCCAATTGTGCTGGCAGTGCTTCAGGCTAGTTCCGTGGCATTCTTACATTACCAAGGATTTACATGGTTCACCAAGATCCTGAGAAAGGGCGATCTTCGATCCAATTTGTCTTAAACCACTATGTTGGTTGGATGTCTTGTGGAACAATAGGAGGCGGGAAATTCGGCATTGGCGGAGGAGTCTGCAAATGAGCCATGGCGCCAACTTCGCTGGAAAACTTTCGACGTGGTGGTGATTGTACATTCCAACTTATGTGCTCAATCCATGATCTCCGCTTGTTGGTTGTCCGGAATTCAAAAGAAGTATCATATCATGCATCTTGAGAGAAGGGAGAAAGGGGCAAGACGATGGCATAAGCTGATCACATGACTACGAGAACCATTTGGCTAGCCCCGATGTGGCAAGCGTTCGACGTGCTTACGGTTCTCGTCACCTTCGGGTTTTAGATATTGATAACATACCATGATTTTCCGATACTATGAAACCGCAAGGTGAACGTGTCACTTGGTATGCAGTCATACTTCCACAAGTGATTTGCAAACGCGTAGTGACAACCGAAAAATCCATGAACTCCAAGACTCGTACTCGAGTACTGTATCATGTCAGGCAACTCAGGTAATCTTACTAAGAAAGCCGGAGCTGAATCTGAATCTAGCTTAACCATGTCAGATAGCTTGCTATCCCATGTGGCGGTCGGCTATGCATCTACAGGGCAGCTCAGTGCTCAGATGTGCTTTCGGGCGGCATTTGGTGCAATTGGTGGACTCCAGCTGGCAGAGTACCTACTTACCCAACATAATCTCGTTGTTGGACAGGATTAATCCAACAAGATAAACCTCGCTACCACCGTACAAATTCTGAAAGATACCAAGATTTATAGATGCCGAGATAAGTTTCCTCCGTTTTGTTGCAGCACTCGGATTTCCACTTGCAGAGAGTCTTAAGCCAGCAAAGCTCTCGAATCAATCTGCGTATACGACACGTGTGTGAACAGTGTATATACAGGTCAGCCAGCCAGAACTCATCTCCTCTATTCTGCAAAACACATTTTGCAACCTGCGTGAGGAACTCTTTTTTACAATTCGCCATGGAGATACCATGCCCAATCGCCATAGTCGGGATAGGAGTGAGACTTCCAGGTGGTGTCGATTCCGCTTCATCGTTGTGGGATTTCCTAGTCAGTAAACGTGACGGTCGAAGTATAGTACCATCCAGTCGATACAATATCGATGGTTTCTACAAAAAGACGAAGGCAACCGGATCTGTCATCACGAAGTATGGCTACTTTCTTCAGGACGACATAGATAGCTTTGATGCATCTGTCTTTTCAATGAGCAAGTCGGAAGTCAATAAAATGGATCCCCACCAAAGAATGCTGCTCGAGGTCGTGTGGGAGTGTATGGAAAGCGGCGGGCAAACAGATTGGAAAGGAGACAATGTAGGCTGCTACGTGGGTGTATTTGGAGATGTGAGTTTGATGCGACTATGAGAGCGGCCATGGCTGATAATCACAGGATTGGATTGATCTATCAACAAAAGATACACATAATGCTGGGCTGTATGGCATTCCAGGTACAGAATCATTCGCTGTTAGCAACAGAATCAGCTACGAGTTTGACTTAAAAGGACCTAGGTGGGTAAAATCGGGTTCCACGAATGCAATTGCTAATATCCATTAGTATGACCATACGTACTGCCTGCTCATCCTCGCTTGTTGCGCTGCATGAAGCGTGCAAAGCTATTAACAGTGGTGATTGCAACTCCGCCATCGTTGCAGGCGCCAATCTGATGTTGACACCGACAATGACGATAGCAATGACAGAGCAGGGAGTTCTTTCACCAGACGGTATTTCCAAGTCATTTGACTCGAATGCTGACGGATATGCTCGAGGGGAGGGCGTCAACGCCGTATTTATCAAACCTCTGAGTGATGCTATTCGCGATGGTGATCCAATTAGAAGTGTGATTCGTGCCACAGCTACTAACAGTGACGGCAAAACCGCTGGTATGAGCGTGCCTAGCCCAGATGCACAGGAAGCAATGATCCGTCATGCCTATAAAATTGCTGGAATAAAAGATTTCGCCCAGACAGGCTTTGTTGAATGCCACGCAACGGGAACACCAGGTATGTCGATCCCTGAAGGTCTTTGTAGAATTTACCGGTTCAGACTTCATATCGCGATCTTTCTAACCTTGATAGTCGCTGGCTAATATTTTTGTGGAATAGTTGGAGATCCGCTGGAAGCTGAGGCAGTAGCTCGTGTATTCGGAAGTGAGAAGGGCATGATCATCGGATCTATCAAACCAGTGAGTATAACTGGCTTACATTTACTCTCCTATGATGAATCACTTAAGCACAGTCTTGCTTACTATATCATTATGTAGAACGTTGGTCACGGCGAAGGGGCAAGTGGTCTATCGAGCTTGATAAAAGCTGTTCTCGCGCTGGAAAACCGAATGATACCCCCTAATATCCATTACACGCGACCAAACCCTAAGATTGCGTTTGAAAGTGCCAGACTTAAAGTTCCTGTTGAGAGTGAGTAGATAACCATTTGTTCCGTTGTACCTTTTGATGCGCTAGCGGGATTCCTTACTGATAAAACCATCAATAGATACTCCTTGGCCGAAGGACAAACTTGAGCGTGCTTCGGTAAACTCGTTCGGAATTGGAGGTTCTAATGCACACGTGATTCTGGAATCAGCAGCGCTGCATGGGGTTGATCGATATTCCAAATCATCTCCGAGTTTAGAGCCACAGCTGCTTTTGTATTCATCCAATGACCAGAGGTCCGCCAATGAACTTGTTCAACAACATGACGAGTATGCAGATTCTCATCCTGAGTCTCTGCCGGGCCTTGCTTACACTCTCGCGCATCGCCGGGACCAGAAGTCATATCGAGCGTTCAGTGTTAGAAAAACCGATTCGGTAGCGCTACTATCCCCTCCGATCAAAAAAAAGCGCAGTCCGAAGATAGTATTAGTTTTCACTGGTCAAGGCGCACAGTGGGCTCAGATGGGTATCGACTTACTCACCAAGTTCCAATCATTCGCGCAAGACATTAAGACAATGCAAAGTGCGTTGAAGAACTGCCCTCATCCGCCATCATGGTCTATCATTGGTTGGTCGTCCACCCTTATGTTGTGTGAAAATATTTGATTAACCCAGGGTAGATG